CCACATAATCACCACCATTTGCTTCACACTTTTGCCAGTGGACCTATTTCATGGCTGAAAGAAGTCCAGCCTTTCTCTCCTCAGCCAGGTTCTGATAGTCCTTTCCATCTCTTCCATCTCTACCTCTTTGAAACAATGAGTCGAGAAGCACAAGAAGAAACCTTTGCTGCAATGTGAGGCCTCACACCTCATGAGTTACCAAAGACGCAATTGTGAAGTTGGATCCCATGTCATCCACCATACATGACTTGGGTCCTTCCAACTTCCACCTTTTCCCCAAACGGAAGGAATATCTTGATGGGCATCTATTTGACTCAGATGAAAAGATGGAAAGGACTGTCAGAATCTGGTTGTGGCGTTCCCAGCTACCACAAGGATATGAGATTTTGTCCAGGTTTTGCATTCCTGGATTGGATGCTGCTCGGTTGACTTTCATTGCCTTGTCTGTGGATATTTCTGTCTCTATTATGATTTGTGGTTAAGGTTACATTTTTGCTATGCTTTGCTTAAGAAACCCTTTCAGTTTTTATCTCTTTGGGGTGTCCATTGCCTCCACATTTTACTGGTCTTAGTATTATTGTAACTTGCCTTGAGACCTTTCCTTTTGCACCCCTTAAGGTGGCCTCTTTCAAACAAAATAGCTTAAAATAACAATACTGCGATTTCCTGCCCGGAAAGCAAGCAAACTTGACGGAGCTCTCCTCTCAAAGCTCATTCATTCTTTTTCATTTTATTTCTTCTGCAAAAACGAGAGAAAGAGCCTCAACCAGAACATCTCTCCCTCCTACGCTAAGAAAAACTAGCCTGACATAGGTATTTGTGTCATATTCTACAATTACATTCTTCATATTTAAGTCATTTTTACTTAGCAATAAGAAAAAAAAATGGGACATTAAATATAGGAGTATAATATAATTGAGAGCCAGTTTGGAGTAGTAGTGAAGGTGCTGGACTAGAAACCAGAAGACCATGAATTTTAGTCTTCCCTCAAGGAGCAAAGTCAGCTGGGTGACTTTGGGCCAGTCCCTCCCTCTTAGCGTAACCCACCTAAAAAAGTTGTTCTGCAGAAAATAGGAGGTCAGAGCATTATTTACACCCCTTGGAACTGTACAGAATAAAAGGGATACAAATCTTCATATTTCTAAATTTTCTAATTAAGACTCCTGGCAATAAAATGCTTGTGCAAATGTATAGAAGGAGGTAGTTTCAGTCCCTTAGAGCATTGTACAATGATGTCTAATGAGTATCCTTGCAGCCTTGTTTTGTTAGTGTTTGTGTAAGCCAGAAGTATCCATGTTCTCCTCTTAGTTTCCAAACCAGGGCTATTTAATTTATAAGTATATGAGCATCTACAATGACTGATTGAGTCTTCTAGTTCAGAAGTAATATGTATAATAGCTTCTGTCCAAAAGAGATTCTTTATAGCACATGACTATATCATATATACCAGTGTTTCTCAAACTTGGCAACTTTAAGATGTGTGGGCTTCAACTCCTGCTGGCTGGGGAATTTGGGGAGTTGAAGTCCACACGTCTTAAAGTTGCCAAGGTTGAGAAACCCTGAATTAAGGTGTTGGATTGGCACTGGGAAGACCCAGGTACCAGATCACCTTCAGACTCAGAAGTTCACTGGGGACTTTGGGCCAGTCATTCTCTCTGGACTGGGACTGGGGAGACCCTGGTTCTAGTCCTGTCTCAGCCATAGAAGCTCCCTGGGAGACTCTGAACCAGCCCTTCTCTCTCAGCCCAACAGCCAGGGTGGTGTAGTGGAGAAGGTGCTGGACTAGGAATGGCCTAGAAACCCAGGTTCTAGGCCCCCTCAGCCCCAGAAATTCACGGGAGGATTTTGGGCTAGCCACTCTCTCAACCCAACTCTTCCCACAGCTCCTGGACCAACTGTGGAATCCAAGTCTAAATCTAAATCAATAAAGCAAACAAGCAAGAGCACATCCTCTTCAGATGACCTGATGAAGGGGCAGCTTAAAATGGATTCCCATAGAGTGGAGGAGTGGAAATTGATGGTTTAAATTAGGGTTCCCCAAAGTGGTCCATATTGACCCCAAAGGGTTGATGGGACTATCCAAGGTCGATGTTGTTGTTGTTGTTGCTGCTGTTGTTGTTATTAATCATAGTACTATAAGTTAAAGTAGTAGGGGGGTCAATGAACAATCTGAAACGTCACAAAGGGATCCATGAGTTGAAGAGTTTGGGGACCTCTGGTTTAAATGCTCCATTCCAACTCTATAACTATGAATTGAAGGAGAATCGGGCCACTTAGGACCCCAAGTCTGCAGAAGGACCTTGAATTCCTCTTTCATGGTCTTCAGAACCATCTTCTTCTGAGCTCTCATCTTTTTGCCTCTTTCAGCGTGCTTCTTGGCCATATAAAAATAAAAAATAAAAGCATCACTCTCTAGCCACCCCAAAGCCTTTTTTCAAAGAAGTGGCAGTTCACTGTGCCTCAAACATACGAAAGGTGGGATTCAGCAGCCTCCCCAAAACTTTGGCTCAACTGCTGAAGAATTGGGACTGCTCCTGGCAGTCTTTAGGTCACTTGTGAAACATGCTGCTTGCCTTATTCAGGATGGAAATTCTTATGTACTTTAGTCCGATGCGTGTCTTGGAGTTGGTTTCAACTTCATAAAATATAGGAAAAAACAAGACATCAAACCAGATTTCTTTCCCCCATTGTTTCAGCTGCTTGCAGAAGGCTGCATTGTTTGGTTTCTCCCACACACTTGGCGATTCACAACCGAAGAGGGTCTGCCTGCTCAGTGTGCTGTATGTTGTGGTCACGAATGGGGTGGCCTCTGCTGAATAATTCAAGATAAGCTGTTTCTCTGAAGAGTGTCGATGTGGGATTTCTTTATTACTGTGTAAAATGACTTTTGCCTTTCCTGGAAGATTGTGGTCAGATCTGCTATTTTTGCAGAGCTGGAGGTAGTCTAAGGGGACAGATGAAACAAAGGATTTTGGTCTTAAATTAGATTAAGGATATGAATGCAGAAATGGAGGTTTGTCGTTTGGGGCACTTTTGCTCTGTTTATTATTTTTCTGCATTTCTTTTGCAATTGTCAGTTCATGCCACGTAGAGAATACTTTTACATTTTTTCCCCCTTAACAGTTGTTCCATTTGATGAGAGCAAATTGGCTTTCAAAGTTTCTTTTCAAAAGGAGACAATTTCGGTGAAATCGTATGGATGGACCGGGAATGGCCCTGCACTTACTTATTTATTACACTTATATCCTGCCTTTCGTTCAGGAGCTCAAACGAGCATATACAGCATTCCTTCCACCTATTCTTTTTGCACAACCACAATCCTGCGAAGTAGCTTGGGCTGCGATGGGCTCAGAGGGATTTTCCACAGCTTGATGGGGGAGCTAGTATTTCCAACTCCTGGTGCAGGACCTTCCCCACAAGACCACACTGGCTTCTGATTTTAGAGGGAGGGACTTGCTCAGAGTCCCCAGAGAGCTTTTGTGGCTGAAAGGAAACTTCAAGATAGTCCAGACAAGGAGCACAAACCATGAGTACTAACGCTGCCTTTGTTTTAAGGTTACAGGAACAGAATCTGGCAAGTGTGAAAGCACTTCTCCCCTCCCTTGCCTTTTTTTTCCAGAGAAGTAGGAAGGGTCCCTTTTGAGATGCTTTCTCCACCCCCATTCCTTCTGTGGGCTGAGATAACTTTCATCTGACTGTTGTCTAGGCTGTGGCTTCTCCCCTTTCTGTCTTCCAAGGTTATTCTCACAGCCCCTTATGAAACTAGAACCTAGATCTCCCTGCTCCTAGTCCAGCACCTTCACCATTAGACCATGATGGATCTTGGGTTGGGAGAGAGAGAGTGGCTCAGAGTTCTCAGAGCATTTTGAGGCTGAAGGGAGACTAGAACCTGGGTTTTCCCCCTCCTAGTCTAGCACCTTCTCCACTATCCCACACTGGCTTTTGGGGTTGAGAGAGAAGGACTGGATGACAGCCACCCCATGATCTTATGTGGCTGATGGGGGGACTAGAACTGAGGTCTGTTTGATGCCAATTCAACACCTTAATCATACACTACACTGGCTTTTTTGTTTTGAGGTGATAGATGTACTGCTATCTTTGTGGTCTTTTGCTATTTGTCTCATGGTCACTCTCCAACTTTTTTGACAAAGTCTCATGTGAGGAATTCCCTTGTGTTATATTCCTTTGGGATTTGATGGAAGGGTGAGGACCCAGAGAGGCTGCAGGCCCTCACAGAGATGACTGTACAGCAAAATGCAGGAAGTCCACACACTTCTCTTGAATAATCTATTATCAATAAATAAAATCACTCAGGCGGCCACAAGATTTCACATGAAAGTGAGATAAATAAACCTCAATAGCACTTCCAAAACAAATCTGCAAGAAATTCTGGAAAATGAGGTGGAAAAAACAAAATGACAACTTAGGGAAAGGAAAAATTCAGGAAATTTGAGGATGGAATTCAGTGCAGTAGTAAGTCATCAGCTCGGCAAAGATAAAATTGGTCATGGTCATCCATCCTCTATTGAAAGCCTCGGAGAACCGCAATTGCTTTGGGGACTGAGGTGGCTACTAAATCAATAAAACTTCATCTGGCATGAAAGTCAGGATCAGAGAAGTGTTCTAACCAAGAGAACCAAGAGAAAAGTCACTGCCTCTGCTTAATTGCGGCACTTGAAATATAGAAGCCTTCCCATCTTGATCTGGAGGAATGGGCCAGTTCTGAAGATCAGAACCTTATCTCAGAAGAAAAACCACACTTTCACCACATCATGTCAAGGAGAATTGAAAAGTTGTCAGCTCTCTTACTGGTGCATGTTATATGTGCCTCTTTGCTCTGCCCCAACAGACCTCATCCCTAACTTCACCACATCTCAGCAACCTTTCTCTTCATCTGCCCAAGAAACAGGAAGCCTCTTTTTCAGCAGAGCATTATTCAGACAGCAACAAAAGCAAGAGGCATGGCTATCCTTCACCAAGCCTGACCAGAGCATGTTCTCTACCATGGATTTTCCTGCTAACCTCTGCCGTTATCTCAGTACCTTTCTGCAGATGGGCCTCCTGTGCAGAAAACTGCTCAGTGTGATGCTTGTTCTAATTACAGGTAACTTGGGGGTGCACAGTTCCTCTTGCACCTTCCCCATATCCTTTCAGTGGGGTTGGGGAGAGAATCAAAGAAGGGTAGTTTGGAGAACTAGGATTATCCAGCTGTCAGCTCTTGTCTAAGCAGATCCTTCTCTTGCATCTATCAGTTGCTCCCCTGATGAGAATCCAACAACTTTTCCAACTGAGGAGACCAGATTCTCCACCAGCTTTCCTTCTGCTGTTAAACACATGGGAGTTCTTTAAAAATGATTCAGTTCAGAGTCCACAATTCTAGGGTTGGAGGGATTTGATCGAAGGGTTTGGGTTGTACTTCAGCTTGGACTTTTTGGAGACCTGAAGGGAATTTTCTTCCATCATGGTGGCAGGTAAATTTGCACGCCTTGCCGATGTTGAAAATTTGCAACTGAAGCCTTGGCTCAGTCTCATGCTTTTGTGATGCCGGTGTTTTGGTCTCTCACTGGGCCAGGCTGTGGTCCAGATCACATGGTTTGGTCTGGGATGAGTGGTAGGTGGGGAGTTGGACCATGAAAGGTGGGAACGTGAGAGAATAAAACTCATAGAGCTACCTTAGGATGGCAGGCTGATTTGGGAAGGAATACTGGATAAATTCTTTGCGTGCATACTTTTCTAGGTTTATTCCCTACTTTCTGCAGGTAAAGGTGAGCGCGTTCCTATTTGAAATTCTGGATAACTGCTGCCACATGATGGAGGCAATCCTGGATAAATGGAGCTAGAGTCTAACTCAGTCGAAGCTCCTTTACATTCTTTAGGTCAGCAACTGGAATCTGTCGGGCCAAATCCTGGCCGGCGCCTTGCAGATGAGTTGGGGTTACAGCTGCCACCCCCCACCCCCAAAATTCCCAGTCAGTATGGCCATTCCGAGAACCCCACGTTAGAGTTGGGTGAGAGCCTGTCTCCTGATTGCATGGATGATTGGGTAGAATATGCCCAGCTGCTAAGTGTTTTATTTTTATTTGTTTTTTATATTGTGTATTTTATGTATTTTG